GTCCGAAAATAAATAGTTTTATTAAACAACGAACGTTATAATCCGAATTATTACTGATTTTCACCGTGCTCCTCAAAACTGTCAATATTTTTTAGTTCCTCGATTGATTGTTTATTTTATTGAATTGTTCCTTAAAAATTTGATGGTGAGACTCGCGAGTTTCTGCCGAAAATAAATAACTTTATTGAAGCACGAATCTTATAATCCGAAATATTACTGATATTCACCTTGCTTTCCGAATTTGTCTATATTTTTATTTTGTCATCACGGTTTTGTTCAAGTTATTTCAAATCTAATTTGATATTTCCGATTTGTAAATAAATAAATAAGCCAAGTAAAACAAAACTAACCACATTTCAATGCCACATTTTAATGCCACTAACCACATTTCAATGCCGTTTTTATTTATTACTCTCAAAATTTAAACGAGAATATCGGTCGGAGACCGAAGACCTATCGATCGAAACTGTGTTTCGATTCATGACTCTATAGTGACACCGCGTGTCCTATCACTAATTAATTAATAACTCGCTTATACGACATAATTCATCCAAAATCAATAGGCTTCTGGTCCGAGATATGATGAATGCTCATGCAAAATTTGGAGCAGATTCAACCACGCCTTCGTAAGATATCGCGTGCATCTAACAGACAGACAAACAGACAGACAAACAGACAAATACCTATCAACATACTGACCGATCTAAAGATCGATAAGTAACCAGGGGTCGGTAAGGTTACTGGACCAGGCACGAAAACTTTTGCTCACCTAGACTGGCGGGCATCTAAATGTGACGTAATGAGTTACATTTTATGAACAATATTCACAGTGCTGCAAAGGCAAAAGTGGAAAACGATAATTCTGCCAAAACTAAATTTAATTGCTATCTCAACAAATTTCTCGAGGTAACGGGTTGAATTTGAAGTATAATCATATTCGGATGCGGATGATGTGTGAGGAATTAAGATTTTTATTTTAGCCGACGATTCGCTGCTAATTTCATCGGATTTCATATTTACAACGACAATTTATATTCATAATAACTATAGTCGGATTGGATCCGGTGGGTCGGATCCGGCCTACGGACTGTAACTTGTCCACACATGTACTAACTTGTGGTAAATGTTGGTTTAAAAAAAAATCAATTTTTGCTTTTGATTTGTTTTACAGGCAGAACCTAGAACTGTATAAAGTAAATAATTTGCTGTTAGTGTGTGTGCAGCGTTTGCAAAAACAACGAGTACAATAAATCATTAAAATAAATGTATTGAAATTGAAATAAGTGCATGTAGGCTTTTTAACCAATTGCTAGTCTTCTTACTTTCTGCGATTAAAAATCGCCCCTTAGAACATATCCGTTAGAGCAGTTGTTTCGAACCACGGGTCCGCGAAGCTACTTTGTCAGTCCGCGAGGGGTTTCGTCGTTTTGATTCTTATGCCGTCTCAATCGCTTTCCCGAAGCCGAAAAGTTGAAGTTATGTTGGGTTAATATGCGATTTCTCTTGCGCCGTCATATTGCTGTTTGATAAGTGCCGCCCGGCGACGTCTTGGCGGGACGTCCAGAAGTATGCGCACCAAAATGGCGCACAACCTGAACATAGTATGTGTGTACCGGTTGGGATTCAGGGTATACGACATCTTGGTGCGCATACTTCTGGAGCACTTCTTGGCGCCGAGTAATCACAATTTTCGCTTTCCCGGTTTCGATCCATGGCGAAAGCACTCCGTCGAACCTCGCAAGATAGTTTTACTTCAGTTAAAAAGTTTTCTGTTTGCCTTTTTACCTAGAAACATGGTGAATGCCCGCCAATGCATTTATTACGAAAATATATGTTATTATATCATGTTCCATTCATTTCAATTTTTTGCCGGTCCGCGACTACATTTTATTTAATTATTACTGGTCCGCCCGGTTGAAAAGGTTGAGAACCACTGTGTTGGAGTATTCAATGATACTCTAATATTACAGATCACAAAACAGTCGCTGCGTAGTCGAAACAAAGTTTCTTGAAACGACAAAATCGCAGAATGATTTCATCTCTGTTACTCTAACAGCGTAAATATAAAAATATATTTATATATACATTTTAACAACGAGACTATCAACGAGTAAACTTTCCACAGCATGATTCTGAATTCAGTTTTAAGCTACATGAGTCGTTTCTATCCGCTCCCGTGGTTGCTCTTATTGGCATCATCAAAACATGATTGCTCCACATCATTTTACGCCTCCATTTTGTATTTTGAAAATTTATCGGAACAAAACGGACCAGACCATAAGATACCTATGACATAACAATAAAGTGGTTCTTTTTCCCTTTCCGAACTAATGAATCAAAGATAAATTGAATGCACGCGTTAAACACAATTTTAATAATGTTCATGAAATATTGTTTATGACTGCCATGCGGCATGACCGGGACATTTAAGTCTATCTGTCGGGTCGCCGCTATGCTTGTCAAAACCGGTACGGTAAGCCTATATATACTACTAGTAGTGTCACGGAATTTATTATCCGTGTGTTTTAATTTAGTTTGTATTTTTATATTTGTCTATATGCTTTCCGAGGACCCTTAATTTGGACATACTTCATCCGGGTCCGGTTACTGTGAGTCTCCGACCACCATCAGGTCGTGAGAAAAAAAGAGCTTCCCGCCTTTTCTCCGGTCGCCGCGCTGGTGGCCGGACGTGTTTTAACTGTGAAGTTGCCTCATAATAAACCACAAATCCGGAATCTGAGTCCTCTGATTCCACACACACGGTAGCAACATCTTTCTACCGTGACAGTAACACCCTAATCCTTTTGAAATATCTTGGCAACAAATGCATCAAATATGGAAGACTATGTCGTTACTTGTATTTACAAACGTATTGGTACTGTGCTGGTATCGGCATTATAAATTATTTCTTACAATAGTCAAAATATGGAAATCATCTGCTGCGGATGTTTTATTTTTATCCAGTGCATGTTATTTCAAAGCGATGGGCACGTCCATTTCCATCTCGTCACTGCCAACATCTCAGCTGAGCTTGATTAGCTTCTGAATTGTCCTCCCAAGACCCGTATACGACAAACGAAACTAATTTAAGACGGTTCTTAATCAAACGCATTTGTAAAATTCGGGCTCGAGTAAAGTTTTGTATACACTGCACTGTTATTATTTAATTTTAAATGTTTTGCAGATTTCATCGTAAAAGCGATGATAGATAAAGGACAAGGACAGAAGAGCTCAATTAAAGGCATGTCATTTGAAATGAAGAACAGTTAGCAATCATAACTATAGGTTTCGAGTCGTGAGAAACGCAAAAGTTTTGTAATCAGTTTACAAAAATGTGTTGTGGACGAAAGATCGAAATAAAATTCTATGGTATTGTACGAGTGAATGTCTCCAGTACTCTTTATCACGTCTTCCCATGTTAAACAGTGGCGACAGGTGCTAAAAGATATTATGGTTTATGTATATTCGATTATAGATTTAAAAAAGTTAAGAAGTTCGATACTTTAGAAATAATCCAGATTCTTTGCCTTTTTTTTGTATTTTTCGCGAATGAATCAAAATAAAATCTATCTCTCTAGTGTCATATTAGCCTACTGACGCCATAGTATCAAGACGCTAAGAGGGTGACCTCGGCCGCGATTCCCGAATCCCATGAAAGTTTGGAATAGAATACGGCTCATTTTGCCATTGTTGAAAGGCTTGTGGAATGAAGACAGCGGGTTAAATTATTAAGTCAGAGATGTAAACGATTATCGCAGTGTTTCAGGTCCAGGCTCGTTGTTTGAATAATCCAAGTGTACGCATCTAAAAAAAAAATACCTGGCTAACTAATCCCATACCCGACGTGGACCGGTAACCGGAATGGTAATTGGACGAGAGACCGTGGTTCTCCATATGGTTAAGCCGTCTTGTTGGCCGGGATAAATATGTAAATCCTATCCACTCTCCCCCTTTTCTTTTCCATTCAAAAAAGATTCGCTATTCCTCTCCTATCTAACCCTTTCAATTGACGTCATTGGTCACGTGGTCCGAGAAACTCAGCTGATGACAACAACAAAACAAAGTTGAACCTGAAGCATGGGGGTCGCGTTTCCGTTGATTTAAAACATTGGCAATACGGAAAATACAGCAATATAAGTTTAACAATGTATGACAGTTCGTTCGATTCAATGCAAAATGCATGTTAGCGTATCTATAGCTCTTTTGGTAAATACGGTACAATGGCGCTTGACGGTTGTCTGGTTAAAGTTTTTAGCGGCGCAAACACGCTCTGCATTCTCGGGTTCGTTCTGCCGCATTTAACAGGATTGATTGTACCGGTACCGGTGCTATATCGGTACCGTGTTGTTTACCTGCTTCTGTATTTAGGTCTATCAGTTCAAGTAGGGTATGTGTTGCCGGTAGATTTATATCCATATATCAGTACTGCTGTACTGGCAGACTGGTATTTCATCAAAACTATGCTATTCTATACCTACTGCTATGCGGTACCTACCGGTACGGCAGGCATCGACTATAATATGTCAGTACCGGTACGGTATGTGGATTGCTCAGCGAAAACATCAGCAATCAGGCAATGCGTTCAAATGTAAAATTATCCCCATGGCATATTGGTATGAGATTTGATTCTATAAATTTTCATTCTTGTATGATAGAATTTACATATGTACCGGTATCTCTGTACTGCAGTACTGTACTGTGGATAAAATTGGATCAACGAAATGGTTGATTATTTATTTATTCAAGACATTTGAAACGTCGTCATATGAAATGTCAAAATAAATGAAACGATAATTAACGATAAACATGGGCATGCCTTTATATATACTAATATATGAAATTTATATACATACGGTACAGACATAACGGACCAACATCAAATACATATTAGAACTACCAAATTGGGTCCTTTGTGATGTGAAAAGTCCCATGCAGGCAGACAACAGTACAAATATAATCAATTATTCTGTGCTAATGCAGCACTCGCTTATCACAAACTGTTAATCGAAATGTGATGAAAATTTGTTTCATGGTTAAAATTTTCTCAGCAAGTTTAAATGACTGATCAATAGTTATAACACTACATTATTAACCAGTCAAGTGTCGAACTTTTTTCACAAGATGGGAGGAGCAGTAAGTGCCGGGGAGGACAATGATAACCTTGTTGAAAATCTTGTCACTGCAAAATACATCAGAACATCGAGGGTAGGTTTATTTATTGGCAGGTAGCGCATTGTGATGAGCGTTAGGAATCCGCCTAGCATCACAATGCGTGCAGTCAGTCACGATAGTATGATACAGTAATACAACAACCCGCGGGCGCAAGAAAAAATTTTGTGGCTTGCGGAGAAGTGCTGATTTTGAATAGCATGCGGCCCGCGAAACAAGTTTTATTTTAGTTTATTCTGTTATCTGCGAGTAATCCCAATTCCTTTGCATTGCTAAGCCTATACCTAAGTCCAATTTATTCATATGATGTTACTATCCCTGAACAGCTAGCTTGTGGGAAGTGAACAACGAACGCATATCATGAGATCAATAACCAAAATTTTTGTGTCTGCAACTACTTGAAAGCAGATGTTTAAAAAAAGATGCGGCCCACGGTTTCACCCAGTTACCTGCCCTTCTGTATTAAAGGTTGTACACCCTTGCTGTAATACAGTAGTGGTATTTTTAGGCAATAAAGCTGTGATGTTTCAGTTGATGACATAATTCAAATTTTAGCCTATTTTTATCGCAAACCCTTTTCAGTGACTAATGTGTCTTTGATTTTATTGCATTGGTTCTCAAACTTTTCAAGTCTTGCGCACCATCTCAAAATTAACTAACTAACAAGAAGCTACAAATATGGGGATAGTAAGGCGGAAGTATGTTTTGTTCAAAAAACATGTTGAGAATACGTGGATACAATCACAATCTCTAAACAATAAAGAAATGTAGATATCAGAAATAAGACAGACGAGATCGAATCTAACAAATAATTTTAATTAGTTTCATGCCCCCTCAAAAAAATATCTACTGCCCCCCTTGTGGGACGCGCCCCACTGTTTGAAAACCACTGTTTTTCTGCAATTTAGAATATGATAAAAATACTTGTCATGTCAACATGCAAATGTCATTCTGTTTTTTTCAGTTGGTTGAAATATTTCGAGCAGTCGACAGAGGACATTATTATTTGAAAGGACAAAGGAATTCAGCATATCAGTGAGTCCAAGTTTTTCAATTTTATAAATTCAAAGTTTCGATCTGTTTCATGTTGCACAAGTATTTAGACAAGCAACCATAGTGGTGTAAATAGCTTGTATGTTTAAAAATACAGTAGAAACTCTACTAAGAAATTAATTTTCGAAGGCAGAAAATTTCGTAAGTAGCATTGCATTTTACCCTATAAATGCTCTAATCCATTTTAAGCCCCCAAAAAATTTGCAGTGACACTCATTGTACGTACCCAAATGGGCCAATGGGATAGCAGGAAGTTGCTGGGCGTCAACCAGTGGCAGAGCATTTCAGAAGCGCTACTTTAGAACCAAGCTGCCCATCCACTTAAATGGCCAGCTGTGCGTTTTTTAAATCTTCGTTTTTCGGCCTTATCAGAATTTAGGAAGTACCTTTCGTTAATCAGAACAATATTTCTACGAAAAAACGTTTTGTAACTTGGAACCTTCGTATTCAGGGCATTTCGTTAGTAGAAGATTGGCTGTATAAATAAACCATATTCGCTTGCCACAAAATAGCAAGTGTTGATCTTATTTATCACTTTAATACTATCTCCCTCAATCATCCTTTTGGCAACCCCTGCATATTGGTATGAAGTGGACAAGGAGAAATGACCCGCCACTTTAAGCAGAATTACATGAAACACCCATGCATCCAAAAACATAATAACGAGAATATCGGTCGGAGACCGGAAACTCATCGATCAGAGGTTAGGGGATTCCCCAAAACAGCGCTCTTACTCCAGAGTGACACCGTTTGTCCCATCACTAATTAATCAATAACTCGCTAATTATACGACATAATTCATCGAAAATCAATAGGCTTCTGATCCGATCTATGATGAATGCACATGCGAAATTTGGAGCAGATTCAGCCTCGCTTTCGTGAGATATCGTGTGCATCTAACAGACAGACAAATACCTATCAACATACTAACCGATTAAGATCGATAAGTAACTAGCAAACTAATCCCATACCTGATATGGATTGGTAAAATGGATGAGAATTCCTGGTTTGTCATATATGATAAGCCGTCCTATCGACTCCCGGGTTAAATATGTCATCCCATCTCTCCTAATATCCATCTAACACAGGGGTGGGCAAGAATTTTGGTTTAGGGCCAAACAATTTGCCCACTCAGACTGGTGGGCCATGTAAGTGTGACATAAAAAGTTATATTTTGTGAACAATATTCACAATGTAACAGAAGCAAAAGTGGAAAACAATAATTTGCGATAAACATGGGCATGTAAATATTACATGAAATTTATATACATAACTGACCATCAGAAAATACATATTTAAAAGAATATGAAACCATGACAGCAGGGCACACTATCTAAATTCCAAGAATGTCCCGTCATTAGGTTCAATAAAACAAACACTTCATCTGTCTCTCAAACGAGGGGCGTCTTGCACAACAACAGATGAGTCATATCATGCCATGCTTGTCTCGATAATAATCTAAATTAATCGTGGCCGTCACATGATCAAAATTGCCGTTTTTTGTTAAAAACTCTCGAGTGCCACAGCAGTAAACTTTTTCCGCTGGGTAAATCGAATTACTTTTCCTTCAATGATGACGTTTTTAGATTGCGTCTGATCTTTTTTACCATCGCAATTTCAACTAATTTCTCGAGCTATTTTTCAGCGCAAACATCAGAATTTGGTCTTAGTTTGGTTGTGGCAACATCAGGCAGACCAGATTGAATTACTAAATTAGTCGGATTTGGCCTGCGTGCCATAGGTTGCCCATTTCGAACTCATAACCGGAACTTGCTTTTCACAGTGACATAGCATGGAAGTTTAACCATCTGCATCTGTCAGCACCCTGTATATATTCCGAAGTCATGGAGCACTTAGATCTACAACCAGGGATGTCATTTCTCAACCTTGGAAGCGGGACTGGATACTTGAGTACAATGGCTGGATTATTATTAGGTAAGATTTATTTATATAAGGTAAGATATTTTTTTTATTTCGGTAAGATATATTTTTCAGTGGTAAGAGAACAATAGGAAATAAGAAGCGCTTTTGTCACAACGCTGTTGAGTTTTAAGCGCTGGTAGATAACACTCACGCCTTAGGCGTCCAATTACATAACAGATAGCATTGATTACGTAACACCAAAGTTCTCAAACTGGGCGTCGCGACACCCAAGTGCGTCGTTTCAATGTGCGTTTGACGTGAATAAATTGACATGGAAAAAGGCTTAATGTCGTCAAATATTTGTCTTCAAAGATAACATAATTTTTGTGTATAATCCTACTTTAAAAATAACAAGCGGGGCCGGTTTGAATAAGGGCCAGTTTGAATGAGGGCCCGGTTAGTGAGTTTGGTTTAAAAAAATATGGGCCCGGGTTACAAAACGAGCAAATACGGTAATACTTATCCTTCCAACACTATCTGGGGCAATGTACCGGCAAATCTATTACTCCCCTTACCATATCGATCTGAAAATCTTGTTTAGACGAAGCCTCAATTTACTCATTAATTAAGTTGAACAATAGCGCTATAATAATAGCAGTTTGTTTGACTAAAGTAAAGTGGCTGGCTTGTTATTAAGTAAGAGTTGTTTAAGATTCAATTACTTAATACAAACCTTATCCTTCCTACACCAAGCCCACAGATGTGGGACAATATACAGTCAACTACTCCAATTATGATATCTAAATATCTAGTCTGGTTAAGGGGAAACCTCAATTCACCCAATAATTAACCTAATCCTCCCGGTTTGACGCATGCGCGACGTATCAGACGTTTTGCAATGCTGTGTGTATACCATGAGGTCTGGAATGTTTGTTATGGTCTTGCTTGAAAGGAAATCTTATTCCCCACACAACGATATGAGAATGAACCTTATATGACATTTAGAAGTGATAAAATTTCGCTTACATATCACGCGTGTACTTCCCGCTGCGATATAAAAACGTCGCACAACAAGAAAATGATTCCATAAACCTTGGCGTTGCGCGCAAACCAATAACAAAAGCTAGTATGATAAGGTCTTATTTTGAAGTTCATTTTATATGCTACATAACATAGGAGAGTGGACATCTCACAACGTCAGGAAGTTATAAAAATATCGAGTCGTTTGATCACAGCTGCCTCACCGAAAAAAAGTTAGGCGTTTTATCTCGCAAATTCTCCTTGTCTGACGATTATAAGCTTTTATGATTCATAATAAATGTTTTATTATGACTCACAAAAGCTTTCAACGCGATAAAGCACAAACGAACAACCAATCGATCTATCAAGCTTAGCCTGGCCTGATTCGATGTGGTGACTTCTCAAACGGAAAATTTCCAAAACGCTTGAACAAGGCGCGCTATGGAAAAGCGTTTAGTATCATATGAAAGAGAAAACCAATGTGCAGTCAACTGTATAGTCACATTTCAGCTTTACAATAGCGATAGACGTCCAACAGCTGATAGAATGAGAGAGTGTAAATATTTTTGTTATTTTTTGACGTTACGAGAGACCTCTTGAAAGAGGTGTTTTAGTTTACGGTCCTCCAGTGACATCTAGCGTATAGTACTCTAAAATACCTTTCCAATGGTATATAATTATTGTATATTGGGTAAATTTTGGGGGTCGTATGACATTAATAAAAATGTATTCAAAATTGGGCTCGATTGAGCGTCTGAAACAGGTTAAGTTGACTGATGGTGCCATAATAATAGCATGACATTTTCGGGAGGTCTAACTATATGAGAAATCTAATTGCATTTTATCTTCATAAATTTCTCTATTTTCACTCAGGTGCCAACGGTATCAATCATGGCATAGAATACCATGAAGATGTTGTTGAATACAGCAGAGAAAGACTGAAAGACTTCATGCTGAAATCACCTGCTTTTGACAGGTAAAACTGATAGGATTCACATAACTTATCTCACACAGGAGAGTAAAGCCGTCAAGACGGCTCAATCGTATGGCACACCACGGCCTTTAGTAGAGATAAAATCTGAAGCCCGACCCGAAATTCGGGCCGGGTCGGGCTGAACTGTCAATCATTACGTTAGGTCGGGCTTCTCTATCGCTGATTTTTTTTTTAAATGAGGCGTTTCGGCCATGTTTTGGCCACGAGAGACCATGGTCTGCAAAAAAACAGAAAAGCCTCGTCAACACGACACATACTGTACCAAACTATTGCAATGACAATTCAAAGAACTCCTAAATAAAATAAGAAATTTTGGGTTTGCTTCGGGCCTGGGTTTGATACCCATGGTTACCAGTCCATGTCGAGTATGGGATTGATCAACCAGTTATTTGTATCATATACTTGGACTTGATGGTGGAGAAAGCCGTACCCGACCAATGGTTACATAAGCAGTGGGCAGCAGACGTGAACCAACCTACGATGAGGAGTCCAGCAATCCTCTCGAACATAGCTATCTCCACGGGATTCGAACTTGCGAATCTATGCTTCCTAATCAGAGGTGCAAAGGAAAGCATACTTCTAAGGCTTAGAATGATGCGCCACATTGCGAGCTAAATTCAGTGTTATCTCAATTCATTTGACCAATTTTGCACTTTATTCCAGGTTTGACTTCTGTGAACCGAAATTCTCTGTCGGAAATTGCTTGCTTTTGCCTCCAGGTAACGTAAGAGAAATTAACCGCGTTTGATTTAAATTCTTCCTTTTAACATTATTTTTCATTGAAGGTGTGAAATTATCATTGTAGCTGCGCTTATGTTATTACTTATTTTTAGTAGCTGCTTGTAAAGGGGGGTCTTTGTTCATAGTGAGCATATGGTGGTTTTGCAGGTCGGAAGCCCCTGTTGGAATAAATAAAACAAAATTCTGTGTCATTCATAGCCTTTGGCCGTAGCTTGAAACGCTTCTTAGACCGGCAAGACTCTCGAAAACACGGGTTTTCTGGCCTCGCTAAAATCCCGCTAGTTTTTAGAACCCCCTCGCTATTAAATTATCGCTATTAAATAAATTATTAAAATTGCTATCAAAATTCTTGTCTACGCCCCTGATGGCGTATTCAAGAATTTTGAATTTTGGAATCTCTTTTTTCTTCCTAGACACTCCTGGATATGACAGAGTATACTGCGGTGCTGCTTGTCCACCAGAATATGCAAATTACTTGATGAATTTATTAAATATTGGAGGAAAACTTGTCTTGCCATTAGAAGACCAGGTGTGACTTGAATTTACCTTTGTTCTATGATTGGGGTGTCCGGAAAAAGTTTCTTGAACTGTTATTAAAATTTGAGTCTTGTGATATTTTATATCATACTAATATACCATCAATACTCAAAAGGACTGATTTCTTCTAATATATATTCTTCCCAAACCTGAATCATAATTGGCGCTCCGGAAATATGTGTACCAAGATGACGCACAACCTGAACCCTAACCTGGTACTCATAATATGTTCAGGTTGTAGGCCATCTTGGTACACATACTTCCGGAACTAAAATAAGGAAAATTAAAATAAAACTATGGCCTAACCTAACCTGGGACACATACGGCATTCCGATGTCTGCCATCTTTGTGCACATACTTCTGGAGCGTTTTATTTTCACATTTAGCATATTCGAAAAGTGGAATTATTCACAAATTAAATTTTCTATTTTCTCAGCTGCAAGTCAAAACAAGAATAAACGAGCAGGAATGGGATTCAAAATGTGCTTTGGCCGTTTCGTTTGCTCATCTCATCGAACCAAACAATTCTAATATTAATTTGAAAATTACTGAACCACGTGAGTTTGAAACTTACGAGGAGTTTTGCTATTCCTAGGGCTGGGCATTTTGTAATACTTGTTGATTTCAAAATCAAATCGAATCTCGAATACTTAGAAGAAGTTTTGTAGTAATGAGTCCTTCAGACACATAAATTAGTAAAAAACTTGATTTGTCACCCACACTGTTCGCTGAGTGTTCACACACAGTGGGAAATATGTTACAAAACTGCAGTTAATAACTAAGTGTACCGAAGAAAATGAACTTTCCATAACATAATTTTATTTGAACGACAGGAACAACAAATGCTATAAAATGTATTAATTAAATAATATTTCCTTGTTTCCTACCAAAATACATCAGAATTGATCTCTGAGAAGTAAATCCTCTTTTTTTTAAGCGCTGAAATATATTGTACCTATTTTTTGTTTTTACAGCAGATCGAAATGTTCTTTCACTCCAAGAACTTTGCAGATTTTGCATTCGCCAAGTTATACGGAATAAGTATAAAGTTCCAATGCCACCCAAAAAGAAACGGGAAAAAAGAGAAAGACATCATTCCATTGGTGAGATCTTGGGTGCAAACTCTGTTTGGCAGTGGCGTATCTACTTAAAATCGTGCCCATGGCAAAGTCTGAAAATACGCCCATTGATCATTGACTGAAAATTCCTAATGATTAGTTGAAATAAGATACTTGTATGTTATAATTTGGTTAAAAATAGGAGTTTCAATCATTTCCAATTTGGAATCATTTTATCAAAACATTTTATGTTTAAAACTTTTTCGTCCTTGTGTCACGAGCCATGGCTGTGTTACCCTAGATACCCACTGCTGTTGTGTTTATACCAGTGCTTCCTAGCGTTTCAGTACCACGCCCCTATCTGATAATTCGCTTATGAACTTTTTCAACAACAGTCAATAAATACTGCTATATACAAGCGGCCTCTACTAAAAAAACTAAAAAACATGCTTCTTTGAAAACTGTAAATTTGCTGCTACCAAGTATTCTTCGATATTTCTCTGGAAAACGTTGCACAAGGCAACCGCACCCACTCAGATCTACATTGATCTGCTAAGTACATTTTAAATTTAATTTCAACTTCTCAAGAATTGCAGAACATATTGTTGCTAGGCTCGTCGGATGTTCTGTGGTACAAGGGTCAAAATCCAGACTAATTTGGCCTCTTCTAGGTCGTAAATTTGTCTTGTCAACCGCCCAATATCGTAAACTGTTGACCTAATATTTGTTTGCAAAAAACTTTTCAATTTCACTATAGGCTGAATATTTTGGAAACCACCCGTCTCAGTGGGCTGTTGGCTTGAAAGCCTCAAAAGATGTTGTTATAGGCCGGTTGTGCAAGTTGATTCATTTCACAATTTTTTTATCATTAATTTCACCTTCTAAGTTCTTGATGTTCCATGAGGCGAGCTAAAAGTGTTCAGGAACGAAAAAAATAAAAAAAAACTGAACTAGGAAACAATATACCAATCAGAGACCGCCGACTTATCGATCTAACAGCGTGTATCCTTCGCTCTGACTCAATAGCGACGCCGCGTTTTCCATCACTAATTAATTGATAACCCGTTAATTATACGACATAATTCATCCAAAATCAATAGGCTTCTGGTCCGAGATATGATAAATGCACATGCAAAATTCGAAGCAGATTCAACCTCGCTTTTGTGAGATATCGCGTAACATACGGAAGTGTCTCGATAGATACCTCGATAGATTTACTAAATCCAACTTTAATTTTCTAGGAATTGAAGAACATATTGTTGCTAGGCGACACCAAGCACGTCGAGTTAGACGAAGACGTTTGAATACAACAGGAGAGAGTGGCACTAGGCGGCGCCGGAGAGTGAATACATCAGGAGATAGCGATCATGCTGACTCATCGTCGGAAGAAAATGATGACTCATCAGATGATGAAATAGATGACGGTAGTTTAATAATTTTGCTATATTCAATGTTTCACATGTTGTTCACTTTATATAAGGCTCTGGAAGAGCAGCTGCTAATACCTGAATATCTACTGTTTTTGGAAAGTCCAAAAACTCTATGGCTTGCAACGTTTTCGTTTGAAATAAAGTGTGATATTTACCGTATTTTTTCTAGTACCACGGACATAATTCTGTACTGATGTTCAATCAAAAATTAAGGGCGCATGTTATGCACCAATAATAAATATAAGGTAAAGTGTAGCAAGTAGCATATCGTCTTGTTCTGAACTGAGAAAAAAGTGTAAAAAATCTATACCAATTTTCAATCAAAATGTAATATAAAAAGTAACGTGTTTTAGGTGAGATAAATAAGATAATCCCTTTTCTCTCCAGCTACTGGACAAAAAAGCTTAAATTTTCCAGTAGTCTAAGATGGGTACTCCTGAAGTATGCGCACCGAGTCGTCGTATAACCTGAACCCTAACCTGGCACACAACCTGAGTTCAGGTTGTGCGCCATCTTGGTGCGCATACTTCAGGAAGTCCCAAAGATGGAGGTTTCTCTTAGAGGTCAATTGATTTTGTTTGGTTTCAAATTCCGATACAGGACTCTTTCATTTGTAATTTATTTCTTAAAACGCTGCAATAGGCTGACATAAATTTCCCACATTTTATGAATTGGGTATACATGTGGATCGTTTCAATTGAAAATTGTTGCTTGACTTCTGAACCGCATACTAACTTTTCAGTGGTTATTAAGTCTAAATTTATTGGTTTGCAATTTTTTTTGTGTTTTCTCTTTTGTGTGTGCTCCCGATGTATGTGTACCAAGATGGCGCACAACCTGAACATAGTATGTGTACCAGGTTAGGGTTCAGGTTGTGTGTCATCTTGGTACACATACTTCCAGAGCTCCCTTTTTGTGACTTGAAGTGTACCTATGGATAGTTTTGATCTTAAACTGTTCCTGGGATAGAAAAAGGCTCTTTGTTTGACTTCTGAACTGCTTAAATATTGAGTCAATACAAGTAGAAAATGTTTTTGGACACGTTAGTGAACATAACGATCGTTTCAATATTATGTTGTTCTTGTTAGTCTTCTCTTTCGTTATGATGAAATCGTTTTTCTCTTCGAATACTGGACCAATTGCTTTGAAATTTTCAGTGGTTGAAGATTGATTTTTTACTTTTACTTATTTCAAAAATTTCTGTGGACTTCAGGAGATTCGTTTTTTATGTGTCAGAATGAAAAATAGCGACACCTTGTGACGTGTCCATATATTTGAGCACAGCTCTCTTGTTTAATTGTACTACTAATTGTAATACTACCTTTTTCTTTGCTTTCAGATGTTTGTCAACACATGGAAGAATCTGGCGACCCTGATATATTGGACAAAATATGTAGACCGGAATCAACAACAGAACTAGCAGATGACACAAATGATATCACATTGAGTGACCCGGAAAATGATAAAGGTAAGATGTGGTGTACTTTTGCTCTAGACTAGTGGTTTCCAAAGTTGATTAGCTGGGGACCTAAATTAGAAGGACTTGACCTTGTAAGATGATTAGTATATCAGAGGTGGCCAATGTGCTTTCGACCGTGATCGACTAAAATCTTCAAAATAAGTCGCGATAGAGTGATCTGTAATAAAGTCGTACCCAAAAACGAAGGAGTACTAATGCTAAATATGCAAATCATGTGGAAGAGATCGTTACATGCTTGAGATACAGCCGTCCATGAACTGATAATGATGTAACAATCGGGTGTAGTTAGAACGCAAAAAGGCAAAAACAAAGTGCTAAACTATTTCACTCAAGTTCGGCGGGCCGTATTAAATCGCTACGCTGTCCGCAATTTATTGACAATGCTTATAATCCGTAAAAATTTGGTGTATAATTTTTAGTTATGAGAGCTAAAACTGTTAAACCTGTTAATTTAACACTACCCAGTCATGTACCGAAGGCTGTGAATCTTTATTTCATATATGTTTTGTTTATGTGGACGAGGCAATAAATTCCCTCTTTGTTTTTCTAGAAGGTTCATCAAAATCAAACGATACACAAGACAAGAAGCAAGAGAACAAAAATAAAGATGGAGAAGGAAGCTCTAAAGGTTTGTCTTCAATATAGGGTGTCCATGAAGTCCTAAAAATTTTTTGAAATTGCAAAGAGAATTTATCGAAACCATATATTGTTTGGTTCTTTCTTTGGTTTTGGAGTCTCTAGGCTTCGGTTTACATTATTGGGTTGTTTTTCTCAAAAACAGGGTTGTGAAATAGGGAAAAATTTACATTCTGACTGAGGTTATAAAAAAACTTGTCTCTGACACCTGGTTCTTTCGACTCTTAGTCCACCGTGAACATGAAATTTTGCCAAAACAAAAACCTCCATACGCAAGCCATCTTTGATAAACTGTTAAAATCGCTCAGTAAACTCAATGCTTCTTTAATAGTTGTACAAAATTTTGACTTTTTTATCACAGTTCTCAAACGTAGGGGTGGGGCCACAAAGGAAGGGGGTGTGTCACAATTTTTGGAGGTTGTGAAGCTAGTTGAAAATAAAAATGCTAGTTAGATCTATCGCACAATTTGCTTGTTTTTATAACTTCATTTATTTCATTATTTACGACGTTCCATTCATGTATTTTCAACATGTTTTTTTAAATAAAACATACTTTCGCCTTACCCTATTTGTATCTTATTGTGAGCTAGTTTTTTTTAAGGTGGAGTGCGAGACTTGACAGATTCTAAAAATGAGGCGCTGCTTCTAAAATTTGAGAACTACGCCTTTATCACCTTTGGAAGTGTGTAAATCTGGCTCCGGAAAATTCAGAATCTCGACTCTGAGGAGTTATAAAATACATCTCTGACTCCAGCGGAAACACACACCAAATTCACACAATAACCATTTGTTTGACTTGCTTTACAGTGGGGTAGCCAGGGGGGTGGTTTTGCGGGCCGAAACCCCCCCCCTTTTGAAATGTAGGTTTTGCGGGCCGAAATCCCCCCCCTTTTGAAATGTACCCCCAAGACTACTAAAAACACGCGTATTCTAGTGTTCAATCAGCCCCGCTAGCTGTTTCGATTTAACTTGGCCAAAAAAAATTTAAGAACTCCCCCCCTTTGAAAATTTCTGGCTGTGCCCCTGTTGCATTACCACCATATTGGAAAATATTGAAATCTAATCCCCAACTTCAGAGCATTTTGACCTTTAACCCCAGCTTTACTGAAGGCATGCCAAACTCTGCAGCTTGCTCTCGTAGTAACCATTTTTTGAACTAATCTCTTGTTTAGGCTCTTCAGCTCGTCAAATGAAACGGTATCGATTCAGATTGCTACGTTCAAGGTCTAATAACAACACAAATGATGGGAAAAGTCGAGGGGATGCCCCAAGTGGGAGGTAAAAAAATTGCATAATGTGTTGCATTCTTTTTGGGGTACAAAAAAAAACATAGATCATTTTTCTAATTGTTGTTTTGGAAAAATTACTTCTCTATGTAAATAATAATTTTATGAATTTCGCTGAAAGCCTATCAATGCTTGGTTGTTGCTTAAACATGAAGAACTTGAACTATTACTTTTTATTGTTCACCTTTTTTTGCACCCTGATATTTTGTGCATAATGCATCGTGTTATTTATCCAACATGAATGGACTTGTGAATTGTATACCTAAATTGTTTTGTCATTGCGCTTGCAAATGAAAGACAACCATATAAATAACTTTTTTTGGAATTATTACAAAGTTTATCTATGAAAGGTTTTAAACTAATGTTTTATTCAATCTTAATTTCATTAACTTAGATATGCAATAGGTCGCTAAAAATAATTACTTTTATGATTTTTTTCCCAGCACTACAAGTCCCATTTATAGCTTTGCTAAACTGTTGTTTTTCAATTATTGCAAGAATTTTCATTGAATCCTATGAAATTAATATTTTCAGTAAAACGGAGACAACTGAAGAGAACGCAGAGACACAACGAGATACAGAAGAAGGTTGGTTTTCTTTGTCTTGTCATGGGGTTTCCCCGGTGATAATTAGCGTATATTATGGACCTGTCAATAAATTTGTTAGTTTGGGTTATTATCCATGCATGAGGTGCAATAAGCTGTAAGGCACAACTGTTTCTAGGAATCAATTAATAGTATCGGTACTGGTTTTGAGTGTAGACATATAATGCATGAAACACTACTTGATTCATGAATTAGATGCACGATCGATTTTTGAGAAAAAAAAAGGTTTTAAAGTGTGTCTTATGGTGCATAAAATTTGGCATTGCACCTGGGCTGGGTTGGTGGTTTCATATACCAATCTCCAGGGCTTCATTTTTCTACCCAGATCAGAGTTCCGACTTCATGTCCATCGAGGTTTTTTTTATCTGATCCTTACGATGAAACATCAGTCCAAATGCGGGATAAATTTTTAGGATAAGATATTCAACACAGTCAATCTCAACACTTCAATTTGTTCTTTATACAGCAGCTGATCAAGATCAGTCATCAGAACGACGTGTTGTTCGACCTTTACGTCCAAGCAGGTTCGCTTACGCTTTGATGAGAGGATTACGGCGAATCAGAGAACAAAATTCTGATGAACGGGCAGAAAGTACGGCTAGAACTTTGAATGAAATGCTGAACGATCCTGTAAGTGTTATATGCTAAATTTTTTTCGAATTTATGCGAATTAAGGTAAAATTAGTACAAAGCATTAGTACAAAGGATTAACTTTGAGTAACATTCTATTAGATGACTTTTATATACCAAGGTCAAACTTAGTCAGAACAAGGTCAAATGGTGTGATGAAATGTATAGGTAGCAATTCGATTTGAATATTCCATTATTTTGTTTTGTCAACGATTCCAAGTATCATTCACACACACATATGGGTCTTATTTGAGCCATCCAGAAGTATGTGTACCAATATGGGGGTAACTAATTTTGTTCGCTTATTTTACATCAAGTTGTGTAAAGGGTAGTGTAATAGGCAGCCTATTGGTAATGCGATTATTCACTTGGCTAACACAGACAGTCTCCGAACTCGTAATAGAACCAAAAAAAGGAACATCGGAATAAAATTATGGCCAAACCCTAACCTGGTACACATACTACCGGTATAACCCTTATTTATATTTACCTAATTTACTTTCTACAGGATTCCCCAGTTCATCGTCGGCGAGTTGACAATGACCAAGACGATGAGTTGAAATCAGATTCGGACACAGATTCTGATGAGTTTTACAAACCCCTCGCGGAAACACCTTTTACAATAGCGATACGAAAACTCCCTCTCCCTACGAAACTAATAAGTTTTCTGCTGTACCATCGACAATGAGCATAGGGTGGTGTTATAAGAAGGACAATGTAGATGTAACAGATCAAAAATGCATGATGGCCAGGAACAGTGGCTGGCAAGCTTTTGATATCTGCGGACCCTTTCAAAGGGCTCTCGACACTTATGGCCCCCTCATCTCTTATGAAAAAAAGTTTGGCTTTCAAGACGTTTTCGTAGGGTATTTAGTTTGCTACATTTAATATGCGAAAGCCAGCAAATGAAAGAAAAAATAACAAAAACTACAAACCAAGAAGTTTCCTGCTATACCAGAGTAAAGATTCTATGAGTCAGAAAGCTCCAATGTCAAAGGTCACCATCTTTTTCAGACGTACACATCCCATGCCTTTCCAGTGCCAAGGTCATTTAACTGTGGACTGACTGATAACTATTTCATTGCTTGTCTGAAAATTTTCATATACAAAGTTTTTTTTCATTTTTCTCCTTTGTATACTGGGTTTGTTCTTTGCATCTTAAATTAAATATCTAGTGTGCATTCTGAACCTGCAAATCCATACTCGAATCATGTTATTTTTCCCTATTTTTGAGAACAGGCGATTACTTATATGTACATGATATACTCTCACCCACATCCGTAATTTTGTTTCTGTGCTTTGCTTGTTAAACTCAATCACTAAAGCAGGGGTTCCCAAACCAGGGGTCGCGACCCCAAATTGGGTCGGAGTGATAAGTAGGTAGGGTTGAGGTAAGGTAGAGGATGGATGTACAAATCATCTAAGATTTGACAAATCATGTTAAATTTAGCGGTTTGTACCATGGCTTACTGTAAAACAGGCGCTCTATGCTTATGCTATAGAAAATGTAGGTGCTTATTGTGACATCACTGTTTGGTTTTAGCTTATTTTAGTTAATATCACCACATGACCAACTCAAAAGTCCAGTGAAGGAAGCTCTTGAAGTTCCATGAAAAATATATATATTGACTTGGGGTCGCACTGGACACTTGAAAGTTGTCTTTGGGGTCGTTCTGAAAAAAGCTTGGGAACCCCTGCACTAGAGTATGCAATCTGAACTGACAAATACTTTCCAAATCGAGTTATTTTTTTCCGAGTATTGAGATCTTGGACATGATTTGTATTGCAGTATAGCCTGCCAAATTTATGACAACCTGGGTGAATTGGTTATTATTTCATAACTTGTCTGAAAATTATATACAAACTGTCAGCTTTTAGTAGTTTTTTGGCGTTCCAGAAGTATGTGTACCAATATGAAGGTAACTAATTTTGTTCGCCTATTTTACAACAAGTTGTGTAAAGGGACTGAAACCTATGGGCAGGGGAAATATTTCATCGGCTAACATAGACAGTCCTCGAACTCATTATAAAACTAAAATAAGGAAAACCTGAAAATAATTATGCCCTAACCTGGTACACATACTACGGGAGTACCCTTTTTTATTGCCCTTTTTGTATAGGCAATCACGTAGATATACAGGGCCTTAAGGCATTTTTTTTCTATCAACCCAATGAATTTCTTATACCCTCATGTATCTGTAAGACTTGGTCTGTGCTTTACATTTTAAAATAGCAGTGTGCAGTGCTTCTCAGTTTGTGTCCCACTTTTATTGCCATTTTTTCTAACAAACATGTTAATATTTGCGAGAAGAAACAATGTCTCCCCATGCAATTTACTATTGATGCGATATTGCATATATTCAGATCGATTTGCCCTATTACTATTTTTTCCCCATTTTCGAAAGGAATCTAATTGGGGAGTTTAGCTTACCCAATTTATGCCACCCAGGTTAACGTGTATTAAAACGTCTCGATCCTCAATACTCTATCTGGCTTTGTCATCTTTGAGCTGTTACCCCTGATCATGTTATTATGTGCTCGTAATGATACATAGATTTCCAGTCAACTGTGGTGTGGCCGTGGAAGAGTTGGTAGAGCATTGTTCCCAAACTAGTGTCTGCGGACCTTTTGGGGTCCGTGAGGCAAATCTGTAATATGGCTATTAGCTTGATAATACAAAAATTAAGTGCTTAAATTTGCAAATACACTTTTGTCGCTTTTTGCTGCTTCGCAATCATGCTGGAGACACTGATTCTTCACTTTCTGTTTCGATCATGCTGCCCCATTGTGATGTCACAGAGCTGTTGGCTTGTGATATCACAGAGAGAGTTCAATTCCTGCATCCACAAGTTTACTCACTGCAGAACTGTAGCTGACGCTGCCCTTTTACCAAATATCGAAACAGACTGGATGTCGCACATGTCATTAAGTTGCGCTTTGAATTCTTTTGTTCGTTTCACTATACGGCGCATTGATTTTTTGTTGTGATTTTTTAACGTTTGTTTCAGTGCATAAGGCCGGGAATCATTAAAAAAATTGCAAGGGGAGCGTCATAGAATCTTTTTCAAAAAGTTTTAGAACCACTGGGGTAGAGGGACATCCAATTATGATGTTACAATCTTCACAACCTATAAATTTGTAAAGTGGGGTATGCACTCGCATGACAAATATTAATTGCTTGAACCTGATTCGGGGGGCAGCTTACACAATCATAATTGGGGGGGTTTAGCTTACCCAATTCAGTGTTGAAAGTTCATTCAAATGATATTTGCAACCATATATCCATATCTCTACGAAGGAGGCGATTCAAAATAGAAATGGGATTATATTGCTTATGAAAATGAGCCTGCTCAATAGGTTCCACATATTTGCCAACAATTTACTCTTGTAGGTTATTGTTTAGTGCATTTTTCTTATAGAGCTTTTGGTTTTGATCACACTTTTCGACAAGATTCAAAAATCGTGCCATGCTATTTCATTTATTACTTTTCATCAGTATTTACTGTGGCTCCACAATTTTTATTCAATTTCACTCTTAAGAGAACTTACTAGCCTTCAACCTTAAAGTGCAAATTTCACGGATTGAGGTGTGTTAGGCGAGAAAGTTGGTCCCCAATGGCCAATCTACGTTATCAACTTTGTTCCAGCCTGCTCAGTTCTCTTTGCAGATAAACCACGCTGCTTTCAATAATGTACTACTATTGTAAATATCACTGTTCTTTCAAAGACTATTTTGTCTGTAGATACTTCTATATTAAAATGTGGAGTGCGATGTCTGTGTTTCAATGTAGGTATGGAAAGCAGTCACTAATATCCAGCGATGTGTGAAGGAGTTTCTGTTTATATGGAAGGGCCAGAATGGGTGGGAATTTAAATCCTAGTGTTGTGCTAACACTTAGGTAAATCTTACCGCTGGTCTATCACCCTAGATCAGGGGTTCCCAAATCCGGCCCACGTAACAATTTGAAATGGCCCACCGAGCTTAAGTGAAATAGTGAAACATATTTTGTTTCTACCTTCTTGCAATCTAGAAACCGCCAATTGTTATGTCATTACCACAGTTTAAGTTTGTGTTCATGGTAACAATTCGATTATGCCGGTATCTCAATCATACCTACCGGTATTAGGATTACACAGGGCAGAAAGTTAGTTATCAACTAGACTTCGATAACAGACGTTTCTTGGATAAATGTCAGCGTTTCAAACTTCAGCGGTTTGTCCACTTTGCCCACGAACTATTCCAGTTCTGAAGCAATACAATATAAAGCGCCATTATGAGTCCAACAAACATGTTTTAAAATGTCAAATGTAGGGGAGACGGTTTAACCATATGGCGAACCATGACCTATCATCTGGTTACCATTCCATGTCGGGTATGGGATTAGTTAGTTATTTGTTTTCGGAAGCATGGACTTGTGGTTAAGGAAGCCGTAACCGACCCGGGGTTACGTGAACCAAGGAGTGCAGCAATAATCATGCAAATAATTATCCCTCACATTTTGTGAACCTGAAACCCACACAGGGTAATCATGGTTGCAGTCAGTGATTTCCCTACACCCCCCCTATAGGGGGTGAACACCCCCCCTAAAATTTCAAACACCCCCCCTAATTTTGAGGTGCGATTCCACACTGAGGGGTTCTAAACCGCAGTCTGCGGGCCAATTACGGCCCGCGTGACGATTTAAAATTGCCCGCCGAACTTGAGTGAAATAGTTTAATCCTTCATGTGGTTGGTACCTTTTGAGTTTCAGATACCGTCTATTGTTACATCATTATGACAGTTTAAGCACGTTTATTTCGTAACAATTGAATTATTCCGGTATCTTATGTATACGTATGGGTATTAGGATAACACACTGCGGTATTTTAGATATCAGCCGTATATTATGAGCTTAAAGATGTCACAAAATGAAAACTAGGCACTGAAAACAGACGTTTTTTAGATGAATGACAGCGTTTTTATTTCTTTATTGAAAAGAATCAAACTTCAGCGATTTGTCTTCTTACCAACAAAATATTTCAGTTCTGAAGGAATACAACATTATGCGACATTATGATCAGTTGACGAGCGTATTTCAAAATTTAATTCATACAAAAGTCAAACAAACCTGTTCAAAAAAATTAGAAATGTGTAACAAAACAAGCCATAAGTAGCCATTCATACAATGCCAGATGAGCAAGTAACTTAATTCATTAGTCACTATCAGTTGCAAATTACTTGTTGAAACGTAGTAGTATATATTTACGGTTGAAAGCCGTGCTTGGTATCTATTCCCCGGGAATTCTATCAGCTAAATATTATAATTATTGATTTCATTACATAACAAACTGCGATGCTAGGTGTATCTAAAATCAAGCTTAGAGCCTATTTCTCAAAATTTTCTCAGGGCGCTTAAGCGCGCCCTGAACCCCAGCCGTGTCGTCCCGCACTTTTACTCGCTCCCCTTTTCTGACCCTACAATTTCATTCTGCTGTGGATTTTGGCTTGCCGTCAATCAACTTGGGGGGCCCCATGTACATCGTTTCTTAAATACATACCATTTTTTTAAGAACACAAATAGCCTAGTTTTATCTCTAATAGCAAATTATTTACCACCCCCTAAATTTTGAAACACCCCCCCTAAAAAGAAAAGCTGGGGAACATACTGGTTGCAGTGGTGAGCGTATTTCAACTGCTTAGTACAATGCACCGAACCACCGAACAGTATTCAAACAACTTTTTCCAGTGTTAGACGAGTCCCTAAATGTCAAGTCGAGTCAATCACCAATTCAAGTCTGATTGCAGTGATTGGTGGTTAGTTGATGACGAGTTATTTCATTTAAATGACTAAAGTCTTTGTTAATAAATGGTGATTGGACATCGAATTTGTTTAACACGTTCCATTCCGAACATCTTGAAATCAATTTTAATTGAGAATAAACTATTCTAAGAGTCCGAAATATTTTTTTGTTGAACCTGACCATTTTTTCAATAGAATTATAAATTATTTTGTTTCTAAAAAGTGAATTTTGCGTGAAATGTTCCGTCCTTAAACAGGACATATGGTAAGCCTACTTAGGGTTAATCTCTTGATTGAACAATTACACAATAATTGGCTCATTATTACAAACAGCTGATTGGCTGCGGCTATTTCATCCATTTACATATTGATCAAGTCCATGCATCTGAAAACGAACAACAGGCAAACTAATCCCATATTCGTCATAGACTGGTAACTGAACGAGAAGTCGTGGTTTGCCATGATTAAGACGTATTATTATCTTTCTCTTTCCCCCAAACTAAATAAATAAATCCTAATATTGAGAGCTTACCTGTCCAAGTACCCAAATGATTATTTCTAATCTTTAGGAATCATAATTTATCGAAAATTCGAAAGAATCTAATGACAAGACTCATGCAACCACACCAGTTAACAGTGGTGTATCTACGTAAAATGCAAAGTTTGAAAATGCTTGATCGTTGATCAACAATTTTTAACGACTGTTATTGAATTGAGATACTCGTATGTTACGTATAAATACGAGTTTCAATTTGAAATTATTACATTGAAACATTGTACAATTGAAATATTTCGTCGTTTCTGCACCCCTATCCAAACGGCGAGCCATGGCTGCCACACCCTAGATACGCCACAGTCAATTAACCTTAAGAACTCAGCTATCATTAGATTCTCAATACAGGTACTTCATTCAATCCACCACACACAACAAATATTCGAATATGGCAGACCTAAGCACCCCTTGAAGCAGAAACACAATTCTAGTCAAGGTAACAGACTGTCGAGTCTCTGGGCTGACATGAAAGCCGCAACATTGCAGCAATACGCGCACCACCACGCAATAAAAGAATTCAGCGCTAAAACTGGTGCTCCAAAAGTCCCATTCCCTAAGTAAACAGATTTAAATTCTGGACTCAAAATACTTTCATAATTCGTTATATTACTTGTGCACAATACTTGAAAGCATAAATAATAAAAACAGAAACAGAACAATAAAAAGAACAGAATAAAAAAGAAACAGATCAAGACAGTTTTAAAAGTTGTTGCTATACCCAATATTTAAAAGTATTCTATATATTCTTCTAAGAGAGATGGGCAGTATTTAAGAGGTATCTTCATGGTAATCATGATCTTCATGGTAATCATGTTATTGATAGTTCTTTGATAGGTTTGAATTAGTTTGAATTAGCTTCGCCTGGTCTGCAAAATACCAACACACAAGATTTGAAATCTGCCTTGGTACATTTTAAAAGCCACAAAGTCCACAATTACTCCAGGAACCCCAAACTTCAGTGTTGTTAATATTGGGGGTGTCCCGAACTTGAATAACAGGGAATCTTGATACCCGTAATTTGGGAGTAAACGTTCTCCAGGAGACTTTTTTTTCAAATTTTGGTACTTCCCAAGCTGTTTGGGATACTTATGCATTGGCAGTAGCAATGACCAGAAATTAGCAATTCACTTTGAAAACCCATTTGAATATTAAAATAAAATTAGCTTACAGCAGCTAAAAACATGAATTGCATTTCAATACTAAAACATTAAAAGCAACATTTGATAAAATGAAAATAATTTTCTAAAACCTAAAAATCTGCCTCTAAAGTAAATTTCATATCCTCTGAATTAGACATTACGCCGGCCTTCTGGTATTCGCCGACTCTTTTCTCAAAGAAATTTGTTTTTCCTTCTAGTGAAATGAGCTCCATGAAATCGAATGGATTTTCAACATTGTAAACCTGAAAAATAAGATGATTAGTTACTGAGAAAGTAGGGGGTGCTAGGTTTTAAGCAAAGGTGGTGAAAAGTAGGGCCATTGTTGGGCGCAGACCCAGACATCACAAACACCGGGATCCACATTTAAATTATCTAAATTTGACAAAATAGACTCAATATTCCGAATTCAGAAATTTTGGGAATACAAATTAACTAAACGTGCAGTGCATTCCACCTGAATAAACTTGCATTTTTTGTCCTACAAATACATTCAACACTATTTTTTTTAGTCCACTCAAGGTTTAGGCCATTGACGATACCAGATTTTTTTTAGAGTCTATTAATAAATTGGACACACCCACGGACTTACGTCTGATAACTTGGCCATCATGAGATCTAGGCCAGGGAGGTCCAAACACAGGCCTGTGGGCCACACATGGCCCATCGCTTCATTATCTGTGGCCCATGTCGCATTTGCGGGAGAGTAAAAAAAAATCTGGATATGGGCGGAAAAATACCACAATGCTTGCTTGATATATCTGCAAGTTGTGTCGGTGACAATCTAAATGACATTCTCCTTAAAGAAGAGTTTGAATTCTTACACTGAATTTACAGTTTCAATGAGTTTGTTGGTTTTTGCAAGTTTTAGCTTGATAAATGACAAATAATAATTAAAGTGTTTGGACAATGAAGTGTTTGTTTTGTATTGCACTGTTTACCTATTCTTGACACTATTGTGGCCCGCGAACAATACAAAATAATAGTGTGGCCCGCGAGGCCGACAACCTTCGACCACCCTAATCTAGGCCATGACTATCCAGACTAATCATTTTCAAGCTTTCTTTATAAGATATTGCTTACCTTAGGACATTCCAATGCAACCAGCAGTCTATCGGCAACAAATTCAATGTATTGCTTCATGAGGGTGTTATTCATTCCAATAAGTGCAACTGGGAGAGCTTCCGTCAAGAATTTCTGAAAATAACATTTTTTGTAACTGTATCGAGTGTTAAATAATCCCTCATGTGCTAGGTTAAATTGAGGCGCTCCCGAAGTATGTGCACCAAGATGGCGCACAACCTGAACCCTGAGCTGGTACAACTACAACTGGCAGCTGGCATTTTCAATGTTCAGGTTGCGCGCCATCTTGGTGCACATACTTCTGGAGGTCCAAAGAGTTTAACGACTACTATGATCTACCAATTTCTTCAACTATGAGAAAAATGAAGTCAAACATTGAATAAGCTCAAGCCTAACAAGATCAATCTCACAATTTTACACTACAAAAGCTCGCTCGGGAGTACTATAGCGTTCCCGGCCGATATTTCTTACTTTCGAGTGACCAGAAAAGCCCATCTAGACCCGTCCAAAATATATTAGCTCAATATCAAGCATTGAACGGTTGCTCAGAAACCTGTTCCGAGCAACAGCGATATAAAGCAGGGCTTCTCAACTGTCGGACCGCGGTCCGAACCCGTACCTTTTGAGTATTTGATTTGGACCGCATCAGATTCTTTATTATTAGCCTTTTGAAGTTTCCTTTTATAAAATCACTTTCATAGTTTTGAATATATATGAAAGGAACCATAACGTCATAAACAATCTTGATTAGCTATTAATCATTACCCGGTCGAGGAAGTGCGTGGTTATCGGATGCGAGCATATCAAAAAGAGACCCAACTATTTATTAAGCACATATTTTCTTACCTGTTCAATAGCCACGGCATCTTTAATAATCATGGTGACTCGTTCCTGACTTGGCTTCTGGACGAGATGTTTGTACATAAGGCAAGCAAAATCACAGTGAAGGCCCTGGGAATATGAATTAGTAATGAAGGAAAAACTGATTGAATATGAAAGGAAGTGATAAGACTTGGAACTTCCAAAATCGAATTTGAATGGATCTAAAATTATATAATAGATCTAAAATAAATATTGGCAAAGTGTTGAACTCTTTAAAAACTCCACAAAAGCTAATATTTATATGGTTTTAAAATAATTATATTTAATTAAATTCTTGGTATTAGGATTTATGGAGTTTCAGTAGGAAATTTATTACGACTGCTGCTCGAGAGCTCATGAATTAGCAATGAAGAAAAGACAATGAGGCAAATTGATGAATTTCCAAAGTTCGGAAATCAAATGCATCTAAAATAATTATTTTCGTTTGATAAATGTAGAAAACGAAATCTCACACATTTAATACATATTAATACAAAACAAAACCTTGCTAGAGTGTATTACTTTGCAACAATCACATTGCATTTAAATCTTAAGGTTTAGTTTGTCTTACTGATTCTGTAATCAGTTTTTTTATTGTTTTGATCAATTTTTTAGTCCTATATGCTGATTATGGAGGCAAAATAAACTTATACTTAGTTTCCTTTGAATTTGAAAATCAATTCTGTTTATGGTTTCTCCAAAATAAGAAAAGTATTCAACAAACCTCATCTCTGCTAATTAGTTCATTAGAGAATGTTAATCCAGGCATAAGTCCTCGTTTCTTCAGCCAGAAGATGGCAGCAAAGGAACCACTGAAGAATATTCCTTCGACGGAAGCGAAAGCGATGACACGTTCACCAAACGTTGAATTTTGGTCGTTGATCCAATTCAAAGCCCAGTCAGCTTTCTCACGAACGCAAGGCATAGTTTCAATTGCATTAAAAAGATAGTTTCTGTAACAAAATAACAAGGAGAGAAGATTGAAAAAAAAAGGAAGCTGACAATTAATTGAGCACACTTTGACAGTAAGTGAGAGACTAGATGAGAGACTAGATTAGCCAGCTTCACAAGTGGTTTAAGTTGATTCCGGAAAGTTAAACCAGGAACGGCAGCTGAAAAGCTGACATTCCAACATGCTAGCGTTTTACCCATAAGTCATTGCTTGGTTTATATTTTTGTTAAGGGTAAAAAGGAAGGGTAAAAAGGATGTTTTAGTAAAATATTATCAATACTACATGGGGGGAAAAAGTAACAAATTAGGTATTATTTAAAACTGCATTTATTATGGTGTGAGCAATGCATATCTTTGATGATACTAGGGAAAATTCATCTGCGGGAAACACCAAGAAAATTTACATAAGATACTCTTGTCCAAACAACAATATTTTTAACTCTATCTTCATTTAAGGCTCATTTGTGAGAAAATTGCAGATGGATATATTCGCAGACGGGACCTCCCTGAAGTATGCGCACCAAGATGGTGCACAACCTGAACTCAGGTTATGTACCAGGTTAGGGTTCAGGTTATGAGACACCAAGAATACCTATTCCGTGCGCACACTTCGGACGACATCTTGGTGCGCATACTTCAGGGCATATCTATTCCTGACGACATCTGCGCACAATTCGGACGACATCTTGGTGCGCATACTTCAGGAATACCTATTCCGGACATCTTAGACAATCACAGAAATTAAAAATCCAAATAAAGAAACTGATTTCCACCTACCTTTCTTTAGGATCTCTGATATAAGTGTTGATCAATAAAGAATACATTTCAGAATGAATATTTTCAATCGCTATTTGGAATCCGTAGAAAAATCTTGCTTCAGTGACCTGGACTTCTTGCGCAAATCTCTCAACCTGAAAACAAGCAGATGTTGATTTAGTTTGAACTCCACAAAAGGACTAAATTGTAGAAATGTTAGAACTTTGTTTAGATTAATAAAAAAAACTTTTAACATTGTGCTCACTTCCAAAAAGTAATCATATAATCAAACGCATTTCAACTCCCCAAACTAAATTTTAGTAATTGTTCAGAAAATGCTCAACTGGAAAATGGTCATTTTAGTATTTGGCAGAGAAAAGTTTAACACTAAAAATGCTTAACACTTGATGAGTTCAATTTTTGTACGATTCCTGCAAATTTGTTGAACGTTAACCAGTTCATGTCTTGTCGAACTATTCTATGCTGATTTACTTTATAAAAATATAATTAGTGACATACAAGTGCGGCGTCATTTGTTAAGATGAATGGCCAGACAAATAGTTTAGGATAAGCTATAACTCACCAAATTCTCATTGACAATTCCATCTGAAGCGGCGAAGAAAGCCAGGACATGAGAAATGAATTTCCTTTCATTTGGTTTCAAACCTGCCCAGTGAACCATGTCTTTGGAAAGGTCAACCTTTGAAGATGAGATAATATTTTATTAGGATGAGAAAACCCACAAGACTATTTAAATTTAAATGCAGAAAAACACGAGTGAATTATTAAAGTGTCATTCAAACAGTTACCCAGCAAGCCAATAATGAAATTAAATGTGATCTTATCTTGGCAAGAGATTTGTTTGTATTCCAAGCTTAGCAATTAGTACTCTTAATCAGGTTCTTCAAGTGCCCCATAAGAAGCCTCAGGGCTCTATGAGAGAAACCTAGGCTCCACGAGCTATTCGTTTACTTACAGAAATACTGATTTTTAAAATACAAAGCAGCAAATACATCATTAGTTATCAAATTGAAAGTGATGATTTTAGTAATTCATGGACATTAATAATATCAATAAATAACAATGTTTTTTATAAATTTATTGTGGAGCTCCTTAAATAGTACCTTTTCACAGGCCCCGTAACACCAGAAGTTAAGAACCCCTGCTTTAAATGGCCAAAACCTCCACAATTGCGTCATTGTGTAAAATGCATGCCAATATAGTCATAATTAACGCTATGACAGCTAGGCCTACCTCTTCAGCTGTCCAGAATGATGCTTCAGCTTTCTTGTACATTTTCCAGATGTCATGGTATTCGATTGGAAAGATGACAAAACGGCGAGGGTTGTCACGAAGTAAAGGCTCCTTCTCTTTGTCAAACTGTAGAGAGAAAGAAGGGTTTACATATATATCCCAGGGTAGAGGAAAGCCGATAAGACGGCTTAATCATATGGTGAACCATGGCCTCTTGTCCGGTTACCAGCCGAAGTTGGGTATGTAGTACCACTACGATCACTGGGTTTATATTGTATCAAACAAGGGTATCGCCGCACGTTTCAGATCATTTTCATACATGATAAAACCTATGTTTTCCAATTTAAACCCATTTCCAAATTTAAACCCAGTAAGTAGAGACAGAAAAATCGTGGTAGTTGGTGAATTCAAAAAGATGGGGGAATAACCAACTGATCCTAATGTAAAACAAGATAGGAGCACAGCACAGGGTTTCTATGTTACCCCTTGATGAGTAGAATAACTGCCCAATAAGCACAATCCGAATAATTGTAGCAGTTAGCATACCAAACATACAGAAAAAAGGAGCGCAATTACCAACCTAAGTTGACAACAGTATAACTACCTCATTATTTATACCTTATGACATGTATATTCCTTAATTTTTTCAATCTTTTTAATTTTCCCATTATTTCGGCAAGCACAGCAGCATACAAAGTTGGTCTGTGTGCCTATGCTTACACTGGTCTTTTCCATTTTAGAAATCAATTCTACCGGTACTCCCATTTTGTACTAAGGACTATTTCTTTATGGTTTCACTGCTTCATCAGCTTATATATGCTTCCCAGTCTATCCACCATTTTTTTTTTTAAATATTTTTTTTCTCTTTATTGCTGCACTGTTATGTAACAATACATTAATGAGTCGAGAGATGACGTTACGCCACCTACACTCAATATGAAATGCATCACAAATACAAAACAGAACTTCAGTGTTCCCCTTAAAAATTTTCGGTTTGCATTGGCAATTTTCTGTCAAAATTATTGGTAAATTATAATAAAATATAATAAGTATAACATTATATTGTCTACTATGGACATTTTGAAAAATTAAAACGTACTTTTAGAAGCATATTACTGTTGTTATAAATCACAATGGGAACACGATATTCTCATAAAAGCGGCAGCTGATCAATATGGCTTCTCGTAAATATTGGTGTTCCCCTTCCTATATTATTTTGAGATTTAGTGTTCCCATACGAGCAAAAGACAGGAAACCGTCATCAATATGACCAGTCACCAGTGATATCAAATTGCCAACCTATATTGCAAAATCTTATTTTTTTTTTGTATATGTCACTAAGTGGGGTTTGCCATATTCCGGACATGTCCGAAATTTAGGGTTAAACTTTGTGTCCAGGAAGAATTTAAAAAATGCTTAAATGTCCGAATCCGGAATTTTACTGCATCTGCAATCATACTGTGCGCACTGCTAACACAGAACATGTTATTTAGTACCGCATATTTATACTATGAGGTTATGAAAATAGTCATGCACTGTCCGGAATTTTGCTTTTTTAAATATGGTGACCCTACAATAGAGTGGTTCTCAATCTTTTTTTTTTCGTGGCCCACTTTCGTTGTATGAAAATATTTGTTGTGGGTTGTGGCCCACTGACTTTCACATGCAAAGGAAAAACTACAAAAAAACAAGACTATATGGTTATTTTTGATAGACTCGTGGCCCACTTGAAAATGTCCCTATGGCCCAGCAGTGGGTCATGGCCCACTGGTTGAGAACCAGTGCGACTAGACCGATCCAGAAAAACTAAAATAAATTTAGAATTTTTAGACAGAAATTGTTTCTTGTTTTAAGTGACAAATTCAATATAATGGGTGTCCATAAAGTCTTTTCATAGTTTCAATTTTGTTATGAAGTACGTTAAATTATCAATATTTCAAACAGTTTTGTTTTGTTCTTCCATCAGTACTTGTTTATTTATACCACATTTAATACATCTGTGAGGGCCGAAACAGTGTTTGAATTATCAATATCACAGAAACAGTTTTGTTTTTCCATCAGTACTTGTTTATTTATACCACATTTAATACATCCGTGAGGGCCAAAACAGTGTTTGAATTATCAATATCACAGAAACAGTTTTGTTTTTCCATCAGTACTTGTTTATTTATACCACATTTAATACATCTGTGAGGGCCGAAACAGTGTTTGAATTATCAATATCACAAACAGTTTTGTTTTGTTTTTCCATCAGTAACGGGCCAAAACAGTGTTTGAATTATCAATATCACAAACAGTTTTGTTTTGTTTTTCCATCAGTACTTGTTTATTTATACCACATTTAATACATCTGCGAGGGCCAAAACAATGTATTTTATCTATAAATTCCCTTTGCAAATCAAAAAATTGAAGACTTTGTGGACACCATATACATCAATGCCCCAAACAACAAATTGGATAAAAGACTTGCTACCTAACCCAACATAAAAATAGAACTAAAATTATTGCATAACTGACCATAACTAAAAGAATGCAGAGTGAGAAGACTAGTTAAGACTAGTTCAAACAAACTCTTGTCAAAATAAATACAAAACCGCAACAGTTGTTCTACTAAGGCACTGCAGTTAATCAAAAGAACTAGAAAACCAAATGTAGTTTCTCACCCGAGCCTTTGGTTTTTGCACTTGTTTCGACTGAAAAAAAAAATATTAGTATTAACCAAGATCAGCAGCAAATGTCTGAATGTTAAAATCCATTTTTGGCATTGGTTTTTGAGCAATACAGCAACAGTATGCCAATGATAAAGAGTGAATGCGTCTCTGGAATTTGATACTTTAACCACTGGAATAGGTAGAAAGGCTATCAATTCATGTTCAACAAATCCCAATCCTTGTGTTATTCCATTAAAGCAAGAGTACAGGCAAAGATTAAAAAATTTGACGACATTTGGGTCCAAATTCTATTTCAAAATTAAGATATTTCGGCAATTTGTTTTTCATAAGATAAACTGATATAATGGAGTAATTTTTTGACTTCTCAACATTTACAAGATCTCCTATATCTCTTGATAGCAAATTACAGAAAAAGCACTTCTCAACATTTACAAGATCTTCTATATCTCTTGATAGCAAATTACAGAAAAAGCAAATACTTTAAACATGACTGGCAGGATTTATTTATTGCAATAGGCCTATATTCATACTGTCATATGCTAAGATCCTGGTTGTAGTTACAAAAAACTTCAGTACATAGTATATATAGGTGAATTCGGTAAGTTGGAATCGGGAACCGATGAAAAGTCAAGCATATGTAAAATTGTGAACAATATCACCACACAGAGTAATAGCGCTAGGGCAGTAGGGAGCTGCAAAGTTTAAGCTCTAGCTCTGTCTGTCTGTGGAGAGATGAAAATAATGAAGCTGTTGCCGTACAATTTTAAACCAGATTTTCAGCCCTGTTTTAAAACCCACTAAAAAAACAAGGCCTTGCTGCTTTGAGCATACACAAAAAACACAAAAATATAATTCAAACTTTTTTTTGAATTACAATTTCAAGTTACCTTATTTTTCTGTGGTGATGATGTGAGTGCTGTTGTATTCTGAACTTCTCCCAGAATTCTTTTGCCAGTGTTTCTTGCAAGCATTTTGGTTTCCATCACTTTGTACTGAAAACAAAATTAGGTAAGGTAATGAATGTAGGAATGTCTGAATGTATCGGTGTATTGTGGGATTAGTTAATACAGTAATACAGTACTGGTAATACTGCTTCTCAGTCAGTCCAGTAGACAGTGATGTACGGTACCATATGGCTGTATGGGTACAGTCACAGTGTCAGACTGTACTGCTGTAGTTAGCAGTGTACTGTACATCGGCATCCATCAGTCCATGGGCTGATACAGTGATAGGGGGGGGGGACAGAAAACTGGACAACATTCAAATATTTAGACATTACTGGCATCTGGGTATTCTGGCATTACTGCTGTACTGCAATAGCAGATATCAGGATATTAAAAATGGTGGTGAAATGTAGAAATGAAAGACAGGTGCAGGAGGATACAGCAGCATGACCTGCTGACAATGACTGAATGAGCATATAAATTCCCTAAACCAGTAAACTATTTTCAAGCTTCAGAGCTTAGAGATTAAAGCCTAGATCTGTCTGTCACTGTCAGTCAGTCAGGCAGTAGACTGAATTCTTAAATTCTGGATAACAGACTACTGGACTAATGAACGTCCGGTCATTGAAGCTAACTCAAATTCTGTAAATTAGAAATGCAAAAATATGTAGATGTATGGTACGGTACCTGTACTTACCGAATTCTCCATATTTTCATCAGAAATTTTCGTATTTTTCAAGGCTCTTGAGACATTTTCAGTAGAAGACACGTTTTGTGATTTCGAAGACAACATTTTTCAAAGAGCAAAATATAAACTTAAACAGGTAAAAGAAACTTTAACAAATATCGCTCAATAACTTGAAATAAGAACTTTTAAAACGGATAGAAGCTGTCGTTCGTAAGAATGTCAATGAAGACTGATGCCCAGCAAGCGCCAAATGGTACTTTATTATTCGAAAATTAGTTTTCCGCGCGAGAAAAAATGACCTAGAGGCTATAATATGGGATTTATAATCACGAAAATGTGCTTTGTTTACCGCGAATCAGCTGATTACGATATCTAAATCTCCCGCGAGTGGATAATCGACCAATCAGCGGGCGTAAAAGACATTACGTAACAGAGAGAATGGGAACGGCGGGGCGGGAGAAAAGTAGGTCAATGATTTTGAAATGTGATACGTGCCGAGTGCTGTTGTAAACATAATTTATGGGAAGACCGTTTGAATATCGAGCCAAAATGCAGATTTAAATCGAACAGCATCGAAAAAGTGACGATATACGTATGGCGATATGCGCATACTTCAATAACCACCGTGTCTAATCTTTAAAATACTCACGTATAAGTACTGTATAAGATTATTTTGACTCCATATTCAACATAAAAGATGATAAAATAATCGATAAAAACAAAATATATAAAACCCATTACAGAATCGGGGGCAGAACCCTAAATAAGGTTTGAATTGTACAGATTTCAGATTGAAGGGTGGTGTTAAAAAAAATGGTACCGGTCCGGTATGTGTCCACTCGCCTTACTTTCCCCAACTTTTCATTTTACTGGAGGGGGGGGGGGCAAATATAGGGGGTAGTAGATATTTCGTCATTAGTGCTAAAACTATTTGTAAGTTGTGGTCTATATTCGACTGGTATATATCGGCACCGCCATATAAGCCACATTCTGAATATTCAAATAAAATTTTATTCACGATTAAGTGTGGGGTAACACCTCAAAATGAGGTAGGATGGTGACATTTTAGGGGGAGTTTTACTCCCTACAGGGGGTGGGGGGGGGGTCATTGGCCACGGATCTGAAGTTGAAAGGGATGATATTTCATCCCTCAGCATAAGTATGTCGGTGTTTTTAAATGGGTATTTTTGTCACGCTTCATTAATCATGGATCAGGAATTTTAAATTACGTAAAAACCGTTTGAATGTAGAGCCGAAATGTAGGTTTAAATCAAACGACACCAAAAGCCACCATATACGATTAAGAAAGAGCGTGTTTGTTTTGTACAACAGAACATAATCAATTGAATGCAAAGCGTTCTCGGTACAGACTGGGTGGCAACAATACGTCCATGAGGTCATCGGGGTCAGATGTTCACTTTCTGCCTTTGATGGATATTTGCTGGACTAAGACTCTAAAACCCAATACTAAAACTGTTGATGAGTGGTTGGACAGCCATCAACGCGGGCATGAGTATTTCTGTCGTCTTTCAAAAATTATTCATAGTAAGTGGTTAAAATCCACTTCAATCTCCTGTCATTGTTATCCGCACAAAACAAATTTCTTTTTTTACGTGGATTACTTCATTTATATATAATGAGTGGTGGGGCTGATTCTGGTGATCTCTCAAACATACAGACGTACACTGAACATTGGATATTCGGTCCTTCGATAAGCGGTGGCGATTTACCAATGTAAACAAATACAACGTAGCGTTGTGATCTAATTTGAAGACTAGCGAAGAAAAGGGGTTTAGCCAGGCATGTAGTCCTATTAGGTAGACGCTAAACCTAAATTTGACAATTTTTGTTGAGCTGTATTCCAATGAGTATCCCGTGGGATGGGACAGGTATAAATTGCTATGGGATGGTACAGAAAAATATGCCCCATGGACAAGCCCTATATTGAGTATCTAAACATATCTTAATATTCGTTTAGTTTTTTATGTTTGACTTTTTTCTCAGTGTGATGTAATGTTAACTCCCTCATAGACGACGCTTCTCGATAACCATCACTGGTTTATTACATCTCCCTCACACTGAAATGCATTTTTATTATCCTTCTTATCTCTGTATCAACGACTAACATGCTCTGTATGTACAATGCGTAATTTCGGCATGTGTATATAAACTCCTGACCATGGCAAAAATGGCCACTTAGTTATGTTATTGGAAGCAGCGTTATATATGCCCTGGCCGATTTAGTCCCGAGTGATATTTTTCATCGCTTCTCGTATTTTATCGAGCTTACGGACATATATTCAAGTCTGGGCCATGGTTACTTCACCGATACTTGTCGGTGCCGGAGTCTTCTTTCGTAACGAATTTGTTTTTTCGGACATTAAATCTTTTAAAATATATACTAATTTGATTTCTTTCTAGTCAGCATGTATCAAAGTTTATCAAGGGTGTCGCTCAGTGGTGGGATTCAATTTTTTTTTTTTGTCAGTCGGTTTCATCACAAAAGCCATATTTTTCAGCCGACTCTGTTACAAAAGTCATGTTTTTTCCAGTAATGCTAACCGGTTGGCTGATTTTATAAAATTCCGCGAGACGGTTCTATAGAACTTAAAGCGCTAACGCATTAACGAGGATCGTTACATCGATTTTTAATTAAATGTAACAATCCTCAATTGACGTGTAACGTTTCCATTTTGCAATTTTTTGAAACGCAAGAGTAAACAAAAGTACGTCATAGATCGATTTGTGGTCATATTATGTCGTCAGTGGTCATCAATTGTGGTGTCATAATCTGACGTGTCATCAGAAAAAAAGAAACACCTGGCTGCTTAGCGTTTTTGTCCCTGTGAATTTCAGCAGAATTTTCTAGAACAGCGATCGACAATCTCTGGGTCCTGTGAATCAAAATGGTCACAGCAATATTTTTGAAAGCAGCAAGAGGTTCCATGAAAAGGGAGACATAAAGCCAAATAATCTTCAATAATTATTCATCACAGTAGTTCCCAAAATGTAAAACGATAAAAATGGACAAAATTAAAGTGATTCAAATCTGTCGAAACACCCTTTTTCTCTTTCGTTTAGAAGTTTTTCGTCGTAGACTGAATTAACGCATCATTCTTGTTTTATTTGACTCCGTCTCAATAGGAACTAGATTATAAGTGGGTTTTGGGGAGTTTTATTACCCACTGACATTAGAGTAGATGTTGCGAGTAGGTTTGAATGAAAGTATGTAGAATGGCTCTTTTAATGCTAAAGGTTGTCGGCCCGTGTTCCAGAACGAAGTGTATGGGTACCATAAATTAAACGAAGAAACAGGCATGTCATTGATATCGACAGAAACCCCCTAGTTACCCTGCACGGTTTGCAGATTCGAATCCATTGGAAAATAAGGAATTGTCTGTACATATCTCCTGCCGACGATCAAAATAGGAGAATTAGTAAATAACCAGTTCAGGTTGGGAATACTAATAGCGCTGCAAATTCATATTTTCAAATAATTTCCAATTGGTTAATTACTAATTTTTTATTTTAAAACATGGCGGGTGTTTTTCTCGAATCTCATATTTTGCGTTATAGTGGCAGAGGCTTTGTACAAAATATCCGAAACTGGTATCTATACGTGTGGATGGCTTAACTCTCCGTGTTTGTAGGTAGGGTTTTGTATTTTTAACAATTTCAGAAAAAACATCGTGTTTTAAAACAAGGGCTTATTTTAAATCAATTTGTTCCTGTACTTTTCGTATTTTTCATTAAAATACCCCTTGCATCGCCGCGAAACTACGCCAAACCGTTGCATTCTGGCAGCTGCACACGCAGCCGGAATTATAATTTCAAAAATGTAAGTAAAATTTTTTATTTTGACTTTTACTTCTATTGCGTACATTTATCGCAACGTTTGTATCTCCACCAAAGTCATAAGATTTTAACCGGAATGTTTATCCGAGATATTGGAAGACGTTCTGAGTAAGAAAAATCATGAAACTTATCTCACGAGCCTACTACAAAAGCAAATAGATCAAGGGCAGCCTTCGGTGAAACGAGTGGGTTGCGATAATGAAGAATAAGCTTACATCGGCGGCAATCTATATCAACGATGAAACACCCTAGCCTAGCCTATACTAATTGTAAGAGTCCTCTGATGCAAAGACGCCACAACTAATCTGTCATAGCGCCATAATATGGATTTCGAGTTTCTGTATTGGCATCTTTCTCATAAAATTTGGGCATTATTATAGTTAATACTGTTCGGTTAGTTTATGCTTAGCATACTTTGTTTTTAAGGTTGAAGTGATAGAGTTTTCCAATGTTATACAAACTCATTTATTCGAACACTTTTCAATTACGCAAGGTGGTTTCGTCGAAGCAGGATCGTTCACGTAATGGCTTATAGATTGTGTCTTACTGCGCAAACCACTGAACTACAGCTTGACTAGGTCTGTATGAGCCTCTATCAAAATTTGTGGCGTTTTGGAGGATTTATCTCAAATAAGAAGCGCTTGGCAAGTTTTTACAATCATTTTTCTTCAACCTATTTAATACAAAATATCAAATATTACAGACATTTTGAACAAAACAGGCAAAAAAAAACTTGATTTAAGACAATTGTTTTAAAACAATTCTTTTTGAACAAATTCCTATTTGTAGGGTGGTGCACATAATTGCCACTCGGTTACGAAAATAAATAACAACAGCAGGCCAACTATTCATTCCTATGAACAGCAAAGCGAACGAGAGTCCGCGGTTCGCCGCACGATTACGTCGTCTTATCACTTTTCCATTTCCCGGGATAAATACGGATATCCTTTTTCAGCTGCTTGATACTGTAAAAATTTTGACAGTGCGTAAAGATCGCGTCATGTTCCAGATGACCCGTAAAGCGACTGACGAGTGTGTTTGCGTACGTCATCACGTCTTTTAATTCAAGAAAAGCTGACAACTGACGTATACAATCTCGATTATGGAAAATAGGTGGAGAGCACATGTTTAGTCAAACAATCGGCAATTGTCGACATAAAGTAGTTGTTAAAAATTAAGTAGAGCATGTATTTTATCATCGCTTTTTGTATTTTGACGTAACAGTTCAAATTTCCACTTCAATGTCTCTCCGTTCATCGAAGTCTTAAGTTCTCGAATCTAGAGCGATTTCAGTAATGAGTGTTTAATTTTTCACCAATTGTAAATACACGTTGTACATACAAAATAAGGTAAAAAAGAGAAAAATTGCATTTCCGAGTGGAAGTGGACGCG